GATTGTTCCATCTCTCATTATCAAGCAAATTATATCTGTACAGCTTTTGACCAGGATTGTCCCAGAGTTGTCCTCTACTCCTGCTATCCTGCCCACTCTCCTAGTCCTGAGGAGTAGGGATATCCAGACCTGAGAAGAGAAAGGGCCAGTATATCCATCAGTTACAAGTGCTTCTCCTTTGCCTGCCCAAGTTAGCATGTGCATCATCTCTTTGCCCCTGTTTTGAACACCAGAGCAAATAGTAAGACTTAGATAAGGGGAAGGATCTTCCCAGATTGTCCCTGGGTTTGAAGTGAAGCTTTTTTTGTCCCTGTGCATTTCCTAAGAAATATTACCTTAAATATAATGAATGACTTTTAGTGTTCCATCCCAAATGCATATTTATCAGCTTAGTTTATCTGCCAATAAATGCAGAAATAAAATAGGCAGTTAGGACATGTATTTTTTTTTGGATGGATTATTTCTATTTGTTGACCTTTGGTCAACAGCTGCAAGCAGCAAAAATACTGATGCAAAAAAGTATGTGCCCCAGACGCTTTTTATCTTTGAAAGATTAGGAACATTAAGCCCCTTTCCAGAAATTTTTGGGCTTTGGCAAGTTCTGGATATGCAAAAATTTTCCAGACACATGGAGCAAATAGTTTGGGAAGCCCAAATACATAATGTCTGTGCATGTATGATAAATGTGAGAGAGGTTTGGGACATTTTTTTTTTAAAAAAAATTCCATTCAGAACCATATCTATAGTTAAATAATGTGCTCTTTAAGAATGTAGGCTACATGACTTTCGGTTTGACCTCGCTGCTTGATCGGCACAGGGGAACGGGGCTCCGCATCCCCACATCGAATCCTCTTCATCAGAGCCCCCCAATGGGCAAAAGTCACCCTGTAGAGATGACATACAAGGAGGGACACCCTGCAGGTTGCGGAGAGCAATGGATCTCCTGCTGGACTCAGGGTTTCTTCCCTCTTTGCTGAAGACAAAGACGAGGCGGCCAAAATGGCTGCTGTGAAGCTGGGGCAGCTGAAGAAACCAAGATTGTGCTGGACCAGTGTGAGTGGACAGTGATTGGAGCTGAGTGAAGTGACTTTTGAATGTTGCTTAGGATTTACCCTAAAAGAAAATTAATCAGGAAAAAGAGGCTCTCTGGAATACTTTCTAGCAGCAACTAAAGAGAGGCAGAGAAAAACTGCACCCTAACAGGAAATAAGTTAAAGTTTATAATACAGAAAGACTGGTTGTATAAATCTTATTGGCATGACCTAGAATAGGCATTTTACAATGCTGGACACCAGACTGGCTATTGGATATTTTGTTTGAAACATTTTGAAATAAATAACTGATAGAACAGCTTTAAAGTGGATTTTTAAACCTTGATTTCTAAGTGGAAGGCACCATCTACTGGTGAATGGATATATGCTATGTCATACCCCTAAAGAATAATAGAGCAACCATGGGAAACCTTGATAAGAGAAGAATAACACCTGGAGGTTTGCTATATTATTTATTGTTCTATACTTATCTACTTCATGGTGACTAGAGGATCAACCTTGAAAACGTGGAAGATATCTAACAGGATAACTTTTGAACATTGAAACTAACTAGCAAATTAAAAGGTAGATTTAAAGAATCACTTGGAAAAAAAACCTGGTGTTAGCCTTCGTTTGATTTCATAGGAATTCTAGCAATAAACTATGTTATTCACAGGGTTTTTGTGAATAGGTACATTTATTTTTGCTCGTTGTCCTTCAAACATGGCAACAACGGTTATACTGGATAAAGTCAGCGCTGAGATAATTCGCATCTCAGCGCAATTTATCATGAGGCCCCACCCCGTGGAGCTAACTAACATCCGCCCTCCCCATTAGTCCTATGCACCTCCACCCCGCAATTCTAAACACAACTAATTTACCAAGCAGTATGTGGTTTAAATCTCGAGCTGCGACTTAATTCACCCAATTCCACCCCAATGAGACTCCGTGTTATGTTTCGGGAAATGAGATGAGTCAGAGCGATAAGCCTCCTCCCACCTCCATCCTTGTCACATGTCCGTGGCAATACGGGATAGATGAGTCAAGCCAGGATGGGATCTGCAGGAGTGGAAAACCTTCCCCGACCAAGTCAATACATTGGAAACGGCAGGATCGGACGTTCCTTCCCCAACCAAGATAACATGTTGGGCTTCACTCCAGGGACAAACCAGTAGGATCATTGAAGCCCAACACCTGGACTGTATAAATAAAACCTATTGATTAACTGTGGGATATAAAGAACTATAACTATTATATTTCTTGATGAACAATATCAAGATCAAATAATCTGCTGGCTTTGGGATGTCAAAAAAATAGCCTCTGGAGCAGTGACAGATGACTGACAGAACATTGTATACTTCTTGGACTTTTTAAAAATAAGGCAAGATGGCCCATCAGGAAGAACCAGGGGCACAAAAAGAAATTATGATGTTACTTCAAAGCTTTTATGATGAGGAATTTCAGGGAGATGAAGGACCTATTACATAATATAACTGGAAAGACTGAAAATGTGCAACAAAGAATAATGAAACAAGATAATAAAACCCAGGAAACTGTAAGCTTAGAGGATGCAATAGAACAGATGACACAGCAAATAAAACAAGGAGAAAAGAAGGAGGAGATCATAAAGTTGGGTGAAATAAAGTTGGTGAAATATATATTAGGAGGTAGAAAAATGGCATTGAATAAATTGAAAGATATTTTTGGAAAAAAGATAGAAGATTTGACAGAGGACTTATGGGTGGACTGGCAGCAAAAAATAGTGGGGATGGAAACAATGGTTGGGTTAAATATGAAAGATGTAGATAAGGACCCAAGGGAGGAGTATGGGAGACAAGTCAAAAAGAGAAGAAGTGAAACTTTCGAGAGGATGAGAGATGATGGATAAGGAGGATTTTTCTTAAATAAAAACAAGAGCAGCTGTACCAAAAGAATAGATTAAAAATTAGAAATGGGGGGAATATTGTTATACATATTTTTACATAATACATTTAAAATAAATGTTAGAGGTTGAGATTAGATTTTGAAAAAGGATGTTATCAGGTATGCTCAAAAACAATACTATTACTATTAGAAGAATGTAGCAAATATTGCATAATTGAAAAATGGATTATGTACTGATCCAGAGATGTATAATAACATTAAATCACATGTCTGATTAATGTAGTAATTTTCATTTGCACTAATATTACTTTTGTATTAAAATGAATGACATTCAGATGCCACATTGTCCATGAAATGATGTTGATGTATGTTTAAAAATTAAACTTTACAAAAAAAAAAAAAAGAATATAGACTATATGTGCCTCTCAGACCATCAGAGCCAAATTCACAATTTAAGAAGGCTGTTGAAAATAATGTAGCTATTTCAAACTTAGTGGTTTTCTTTCTGATGTCTCTTCCTTCATGAAACAAACATGAAAGCCTGAATTTTGACCATATATATCCAAAATATATTAGCAGAAATCCCAAATGGGAACAGAAAAATCATCTGAAAAAACAGAATGTTTCTCTTTCAAACAAACTGAACTGTAGAGCTGAATCCTTATATCGTGGTTGGACATGTAACTATCACAAAAAGTCATTAGATTGTGACTCCACCCACTGGATGAATACTAATAGTGAATATTGCCTTTCTTTGGTAAAAGATTAAGGACAGCTGTGGTCCAGCAACCTTGAGTAGACAATATTATTTTGCAATTCCCTGTCTTTAGTCTCAAACCAGCACTACTATTTGAGAACTTAGAAGAGGTAGTAAGTTGATGTAAGATGCAAAAGTGAATTTGCAACAAGCAACAGCTGGGACAGCAAAATGGTTATGGTATTCACAGAGATCTAGCAAAAGGAGTCCCACAGCATAACCAAGAGAAAAGAGACACAGGAACTGTAGACTTAAGGACATACCAAAAAGTGACCAGTTCACAAGGGTGAGAAATAAAATCAGGAAGGAGAAAGATGAAACTAGACAATGTGTGGAACTGCTTGCTAGAGGAAAAGACCTTGCTGCAGGGATGGATGCTACCAGTTCTGCCCGGTTCTATACAACTGGTAGCTCTGAAGAGCAGCAGACACCAAACCAGTTCTGTGTTTACTGCTGTTTGGCCCACCCGGGCTCTTACGTGTCCTTTGTTTCCTGCTTTTTCAACCTCAGCTGCTTTGCGCAGCACAGTTGAGGTTGAAACAGCAGGGGAAAAGTGGCTTTTCAAATGCTGCGCACCTGCACGCAGCACTTTTCAGCTGTCCAGGCGGCACAGCTTAAGCCTTTTTTATATGGGCGCACAGCAAAACATAGTCACTGAACCGGTAGTAACACTGGTTGAATCCCACCCCTGCCTTGCTGATCTGAAGATGCCAGCATAAAACAAGCTTCAATTAAATGGATTCATTGATGAGATCAGGTTGTTCACAGATCTGCAGGGGATGCCTGTTCTTCTATGCTGGTGGAACAGTTGGGCCAGTGGGAAGCAAGCCACCACAGCACTGCCTAACTTAACACTGGGTTTCCAGATGATCTCGACCCTGACACGTTTAATGTCTTCCAAGTGTGGTAATTCTGCTAAAACAGAATTGGTTTAGACTGGCCAGTTTTTCTCAAAATTGCCCTCAGATGTATCTCCTATAATCAATCATGTCTACAGCTTTCTATATATTGCCCCAGAGATTCAGATAGCTCTGATCCTTTTACCTTTTTGTAAGACTTTGAAGACCTGGCTGTGTCCTCAGAAGTGTAAGCTTGGTTGTTAATGTCATCTTAGGGACTGATTTACCTCATGGGATGTTGCTTTTAATTTTGTTTTGTTTTTTTCATCTTTGTTTGCTACCCAGAGTCAGTATTGTGAGAAGGGCAGCCAAATTGTGTGTGGGTGTCAATAGGAGTACAAAGCAATAGCATTCCAGCCACCCTGACGTACTTCTCAGAATGAATAATTGCAAAATCACAAAAAGCAATATCATTGTTCTTCATTTTAGGCTCAGCTTCTCCCACCATTCACCCTAATGTTGACATTCTGAGGGTGAAGAAAGGAGACTCCATCCAATTACTTTGCTTGGGGAAATTGCCTGTTGAGTGGATCGGTATCCAGAATGGGTCCACCATGATGGTGTATGACAATGGCACCCTCTACGTGCCTGAGGCTAGTTGCAACCAAATGGGAAGCTACCAGTGTGCTTATATCAACAAACCAGAAGAGGGGATTAGAACTATATATGTGGCAGTAACAGGTAACCAGATTTCTCTTTATTATCTCTCTCATATGCTCTGAAAATAAATCATTGCATATGCTAAATAAACACTGTCTGGGAATTGTGTTCCCCATACGTCCACTATCAACTGTCAGTGTTTTTACAGGGGATGAAGGGTTTATAGAGTGTGAAGTGTGAAGCCTACTGTGGATATGTTAGGGTCTTGCTCCATCACGTAGCAAAGACACTTGGTGGAAGATGGAAAACCTAGGCCAGCTGGATTAGAAACTGACCCCTTTTTTTGAATAATTTTATCAGCAAGGCTTAACTATACAAATATTTTTTTCATATAGGAAACAAAGCAATCATGGGAAATCCCTGCTGCAAATTTGTCCAGTTCCACCATGGGAAATTAGTTGATTTGAATGACTCATAGAATGGAGTCCTTTCAAGCAAAAGAGGTAGTTGTTAATTCAGATGCCTACAATCACAGAACATTATCAACCTTGACTGTTGGCCAGAATGTGTCCCAAGGAGAACATGCTTACAATTTGGGGGCCCTTTTCTTTTCACAACTGGAAGATCTGAAGAATGAGGTTGCCAAGTAAATTGTCCTAGGGAAAATCTATTGGTGTGGGGTTTTTTTAAGAGCCAAAACTGACTTGGTGGTATAAATGACTCTGGATTAACAACTCCTGCTTTATGAGAAAATGGTGGCCATGGCCAAGAAATTTGCCCTTCAAGACTACACAGAGACTTTAGCTACTGCAAAATGCATCACTGCTGATTTGCACTAGCTATTACCTGTTACCTAAGCATGATTGACGATGCTAGTTATCACATATAAAGCCCTGTAAGTCTTGGAGCCTTGGACCAATTTAAGGCCTGTCCTTTCAATGAGGGAGACCGAAACCTGCTGAAGATCCCTTCCTACCATGAAGCACAATGAGAGGGAAATCTTCTCCTGAGACAAGACTGACTTTATCAAATATTAGTGGAGTAATCACACCAATCTACTTGATATTGATTGGCTATTGCATACATTATGTTATTACTGTTAAAAATGAAGGCAAATATATCTGCCCCAAGATATTTTTGCAGGATTCAGTCTTGTCACCAGAATGTGAGACAGAACGTCCCTGAGGATGGGATCCAGCATGAGTCTGAAAGCTCAGTAGTCTAAACCTCTGTTCCTGGTGACCGACCCCAGATTGGATCCTGTTATTACTTCTATTATAATTAATATCTGTATGTTGTCTGGGTTGAGGCAAAGGATATATCTCATAAACAAAACAAATACACCACAAATACAACAGAGGCCTTGACTGAGAGAGAATACCTGAGAATATGTCAAAGATTTTGCTCTCACCACGTCAGCACCAGACAACCTTATTTCAGATTAATTCCAGCTATTTTTCTATGTGTGCCAAGCTACCATATAGATTCATAACATATTTCTTCTACAGATCCTGAGTCTGTGTGGTGTGGCCTTCACAATGTTTATCCTATTGTGGAAAAGGGCAGCGATGCCTTGATTCCGTGCCTGATTGCTGACCCAAGATTCACAGGCAACATGACCCTCCTTAAAGACTCTTCTCCAGTTCACTCAAGAGTCTCATTCAGTCCTAAGGAAGGAATATGGATTCATAATGTAGACCTGAGTGATAAAGATTCCTATGAGTGTAAAGCCCAGGTTCATGGAGAATGGGTGATTTCACCCAGAATTACTCTTTCTGTCTATGGTAGGTTGGAACTGCTCTTTTGTCACTACTTGAACATGTGTTTCCAAGCCTTTGGGGACAGTTGTTGTAGCAGCATATAGAAAAAGTGCTCCAGTGCATGTGGTTCATTTTTTTTCCAACATGGAGAGGTTGGTTCCAAATTCTATATATTCATTGTGCTGTGCAATGCTAGACCAATATTAATCAACAAAGAACAAGTATACATTTTGGCAGGACAATGAATAGCTGCTTTGGTACATTAGTTGTTCTTTACTGTCACTGCCAAAGTGGCTTGAAATATGTTAAAGTAAAATGGCAAACACCCTCCATGATAACTTTTCAATCCATTGGGTCAAAACTGCTGAAAAAGATGCCTGAAAGGTTTGGAAAATACACCATCATTAAGCAGAAAATAGGAAAGGTATAACTTAAGAAAAGATGAGGGTGTTGGTTTTTTTTTTTTACTGACAAGCCCTCCAGCTCAGTTTGTATTTAACAGACTTTTCTGGCTTTTCTTAGACAATCACCAGCCTTTGATGGTTACTATTGGAGGACTAGCAAACCATGTGCGGTTACAGGGAGAACCATTCAGCATTTCCTGCAGAGTACAATATTACTCTTATGAATATAATGGCACATGGATCTATCCCCTGACTGCAAACGTAAGCCATTTCTGTGGGTTTTAGACATGCACCTTAGCTTCTGTTGTTTGTTGACTCGTGGTAACTGTTCTATTTCTACCGTTACGAGATGAGAGAAAAAGGATAGCAGATAATTATCTTTTTACTGTTCTGTATTGTGTACAGTGGTAGATTTGTCTTCTGTACAGTGGTAGATTTGTCTTCTGTACAGATGCAGATAGATAAACTCCACAAAACATCCATAACAAAGTACTTTTATTGGTTCATCAAGAATCCTCATAACTCACATTTGTGATGAAGTTCATCTTTAATGACCAATCCTTTCCATATTTGTCTTGTAAGTAAAAAGATGATTATCTGCTATCCTTTTTCTCTCATCTCATAGCGGTAGAAATAGAACAGTTACCATGAGTCCATGAGTTCAGCCAAGAGTAAGGAAAACTCCCCCAACCCATCGAGTGTCAATTTAGTGACCAATCAGGATTACAGATGTGGTCACGTGATATGGACTACATTTCCCAGGATACCTTAACCACATTTACCATGATGCATTCCCTTAAGGGGACAGTTCACAATCGCTATCTAACTATCCAATTCCCATACACTGGCTGGACAGCACATTTGTCTTGAATGAGCTCAGAGTTACTTGTGGCTTGTATAAACCAATTCATGCAAGGACTTAGACCTGTCTTCCGGAGTTATTAACAGATAATCAGAGTTGGAAGGGACCTTGTAGATCATCTAGTCCAACCCCCTGCCCAAGCAGGAGACCCTACACCATTTCTATTGAACAACAATGTCTACCATCCCTAACCAGAAAGACATCATGAGCATCTAATGATATAATATGTGCTGCGATGTCACAATGAAAATTCTGCTCTTTTGATATTTGGATGCAACTTTGTGACACACAACTAAAAAATAGCAGTGTTTGCAAAATGACACATGTGTCATCATTTTGACATCATCATGCCTCGATTGTGAGGCTAATATCTGGCTGGGATGTCGGAAATTGTAGTCCTGAGACAATTCAAATTGAAGAAAGCTGCTTCAACTGCATATTGCACATTAACTTTGCACTTCTCAAGGTTGTTTGCTTTTGCATCCAGTTTGTCTTAACTGCTTCATTATAAGATTCTCTTGAAACTGCCTTGCAAACACAAACTTCAGTTGTTTCTTATAAGAATAAGAGGCAGAAGCAAACAAAGGATATTTATTTATTAAATGGATGTACTCTGAATCTTATGTTTTTCTTTTCACCTACTTTAATTGTTTGTAAAAGTGTTTTTATACTTAGGTATACTTTTATATTTAAATAATACAGACGGGAAACCATTGTCCTCATGGCTTATTATTTAAGAACTAGCATAGTCTTAAATATATATAAATCATGAAATGGGATTAAAAAAAATATAAGTGGAGGACCAGTGGCTTCAAGGAAAAGCCCTGAAATCTGGTAAAGGTTTAATTGGAGATGATGGCAATGAGCATTAGAGCTCATATTTCCAAATCAGCCCAGTAATATCTGTCTTTTCTTACCACAGGCCATCTGGAATACAACGGATTTAGATACTGGATTATCTCAGTCATACGCCACTGATTACTTCCTATTCATTTCAGCAGTTCAGTTACAAGACAGTGGAATATATACTTGTCATGTGGAAGCTGCACAATTACATGTAAATGTTTCAGCTACTCTCCAAGTGCTAGGTAGGTGACAACACAGGGAAAACCTCCTCACCCATCAATAAAAATAGATCCTGTGTATCCAAAACACCCCATCAGTTTACAAATAATGTTGTCTTCTTTCACTTTCTATTGGATTTTTACATTGTGGTAGCCGATCAGAAGGCTTTTATGAATACAAATATGGAATGTTAGTTAAATCAATCAGAAACTAACAGTGCATGAGAACAATTCCAAAGGTGGTCTAACATTTAGTATTCTAGTGTCTCAGTAAAGAAGATACATGATAAAGATAGAAATTCTTAATATTTTCTAGAATACAAGTGTGTTATATAAGTATGTTTCTTTATGCTTCAAGAAAAGTATACAACCATAAAACACCGAAACTCAGTTACTTCTCATTGATTAATATATCTACTACAAAGTTTTCAAATGAAATATAGCATTGCTTTCTCCTCTTTAAAAATTCATCAAGATAAGAATAAAATTTCTAATTCCTTCAGAATCAGGAACATGGAAGGCAAGATACTTCCTCTTCCCACGTTCCATATTTCTATTCATATCTCTCCACCATTTTCAATGGCAAGGTTTCTGGGGTAATTCAACTATCTTGCTCCTATCGAATCTTGTCCATAAAATCCATTTAGTGCTTAAGTACAACATGACTAACTTTTCTGCTTTCCGGATATATCTAAGAGAAGTCAAAAGCTTAAAAGCTCCTAAAGAAGAACTGAATTACCCCAGAAATATGAAGTTTATATTCTGTCCTAGCCTTTCCTGAGTTCATGTTTGTTTATTTTGTAAGCCCATCAATAGGAACTGTCTATCTATTGGATTTTGTGGGCCATCTAATAAAACCTCTTTGGGGTTAAAGATCAGATCAGAACTCTTTAAATCACCTTTTCCTGCATACCTTCCAGTTGGGGTTGTGTGAGTTGTTTTTCAATGTATTTCAAGGCTGCCAGGACAGAGATAGGAAATTGAATGAAGTCTTGCCTGTGGGATTTTTAAATTCTGCATACAAAAGTCACTATTTGCTGTGGCAGATAATGAATCATGGGCATGCAATAGTGCAACATGTAGCATCATGGCTGCTCCTTGTGAATGTTGCAAGAATTACTTGGAATTTGGTGTTCTGTCCATACCCTTACAAATATTGAACCTCATTGGACAGTTTTCATAAGCCATGGATTCTTGGGCTTCTTCATACAATTTGTCACGTTCCTAAAAATCATTTCTGTGATTCCCTGTAATCCAAACCCAATACATTCTAGTCATTCTTCCCTTCCACAGTCCAAACAGGCTCTTTGATAATTTCTGAGGAGTTGAAATGAAGAAAGTACTTTATTTTAGCTTTGGAATGCTGCTGTTTTGTTGCAGGACTCCTCAGTCATTATCATCATTATAGCTTCCACAATGAGGAACTCTACTAAGAGCCGAGCTGTTTTCCTCAAGGAGAAAAACTTTTTCCCTTTACTTCCCTATGGATTAACTTTGTACTTTGCTTTTCAGAGAAAGGGTATCTGCGCTTGTCCACATTACAGAACAAAATTCAGGAGACAAACTTGCATCTGGACCTAAATCTTCAGGTGCTTATTGATGCTTATCCTAGACCTTTAACATATAGATGGATACATGTGAACCGATCAAGAAAGTCCATAATCATTGGCCACATGATTTTTGGTCAACAAAGGTAAAGACTATGTAGTGTCTCCCCTTCCTTCAGAGTTTTTTTTTTGGGGGGGTGGGGGTGGGGTGGGGTTCAAATTACAGGTTTGTTTACAGTCCTAATTTTCAGGGAAAGAAAGGCTGTCCGATGTGGTTGCCTCACATAACTGCAGCAAATGCAGCATGCATTTTATCGAGTCTTTCTCTAAGAAGATCAGAGATAAATGTTAGTCACACCAGAGCCTTTTAGAATAGAACAGGATAAAATGTAGGAACTTGCACATATAGCAACCCAAGGAATTTATCTGATTGAACCAAGAAGAATTTGAACCTGGACTTCCCCATACATGTATGACTTTATGAAAAAAATCTGAGGCATCTAAAACTCACTGGGTCTGTCTATCTTCAAAGTTCATGTGATTTGCTGTTTAAAGTTGGATCTCTAATTCATGAACTGGAATGAGAAGATCACAACAATACATGAAATTACCGCTGCTTAGGTAATTTCTTCAAGGATCAGTTTTGTCTTCTTTGCTTTTTTGCATCTATGTTGAGCCCTGGGACCTTAATGGTTCTATTTGCACAACTCAATTGTGCATCACTTGTCCCAGCCACGAGGAGATGCTATCAATTTCCTTTGTTGGTGCTGGGAAGTTGTTGGGATCTGGATTGGAGAGAATAAACTGAAGCTCAGTCCTCACATGTCAGCATCCTGTGTCACCACCAGAAGTATTCCTTGATGCTCAAACATTACCCAACAGGAAGCAGGTTTGCAAATTGGGGATCATTCTTAACTCAAAGCTGCTGTTGAATAAGCAAATGGAAACTATCCCTAGAGGGAGCTATGCCCAACTCTGGTTAGATAAGCAGCAATGTACTTATCTTACCTGGGGCAGGAGGACTTAGCTCCTCATGCCATCTAGTTGGACTAATGAAAGTCACTTAATAGAAGACTGCCCTTGAAGAGTATTTAGAAACTACAGCTAGTTCAAAATGCAGTGGCCTGCATTTCATAGTTTCAGCTTCAACATTGGGAGCACATAACACCAGTTTTGCAATCCCTGCATTGTTTACCATTTGTTTTCTTGTCTAACTGAAAGTACTGGTTTTGAACTGCAAATGCTATTCATGGCTTGCAGATACTCCCAGGATTTGCTTGTCCACCCAGTTTTGATTCTAACAATTATTTCCATGCATATCTGTTCTCTCTTTTGGCAGACACAACAATACACTCAGGCTGAATTGGATGGAGGAAAAAGACGGTGGTGAATATATATTTTTTGCAGACAATGGGGAAGCCAATGCATCTATTCATTTTTACGTCTCTGTGAAAAGTATGTTTTGTGCTACTCATTCTTTGTAATAATATGTGGGAAATGGGAATGATCTTGGGAGACAGAGATGCAGCCAAGGGGATAGATAGATTAATGGTGAGATAAAAGAGAAACAGGCAGGAATGTGGATAGGGCAAATGGCTCAGAAGGGAGTTTCTTGGGCTGTAAAGGAGATGGGGAAAGGGGGGGGTGAGATTCTGTTAACATACAGTAAGTAGCCTTACAAATAGCATAGAATTGGCTCATGTAACCATGCTTCCCATATGGAGTTTATGAAAAGGCTGATATTTTTCAAGCCAGAGTGCTTGATGTTAGTTGCGAAGTCCTGTCTGGTCCAACACAACCCCATGGACAACGTTTTTCCGGGCCTTCCTGCCTTCTATCATTTTCTGGAGTCCATTTAAGTTCACACCAACTGCTTCAGTGACTCCATCCAGCCACCTCATTCTCTGTCATCCCCTTCTTCTATTGCCCTCAATCTTTCCCAGCATTAGGCTCTTCTCCAGTGAGTCCTTCCTTCTCATTAGGTGGCCGAAGTATTTGAGTTTCATCTTCAGGATCTGGCCTTCTAAAGAGCAGTCAGGGTTGATCTCGTCTAGAACTGACCAGTTTGATCACCTTGCAGACCCAGAGTGCTAGAAAACTCAAAAGCCACATCAAAATCTTTCTAAGGGAAATCCAGTTGCCCTTGAAACCAAATATAATTTTAACTATATCAGTGTAGGTAAGCAAAAGGAAATTATCTTCTTTTTTGTGGCAAAGCAAATACACCAGGTATACTTTCCCCCCCAAATCTGTATTTTATCATTATTAATATGGTCCTAGAAGTAATCCTGAATTCTTATCAGAAGTAGCCTTTCCTAGTCATGATTGAATCAATTCATTCAGATGGAAAAAAATAATTTGACTTTATGCCCTGTATAGAAAAAGTGATGGGAAGCTAAGTTGCAAAGAATATGCTATTAATCTGATTTGCTGCAAGTTCTGTTCTTTAGTGTGCCACCATTTTAATTTTGCTAATGAGATTTGAAATAAAGAAAATATGCTGCCCTCTGCTGTCTTTAATGGTTCCTTTGTATTTGCTTTGTAGCTAAACCAAAAGTTACAGTGTTGACCAACATTTCCAATGGTCTCCAATGTGAAGTAACTGGCTATCCTCCTCCACGTATTCAGTGGTACAAATTGCACCCCCATGTTGATAGGTGAGTTAACAGAATCACAGCACAAGCCAGTGCATTTCTACTCAAACATGCCTGCTGAGACTTAGATATGTAATGGCACTGCAGCTGTCATATACCACCATTTTCATTATGGAACTGATATATCTCAGTTCTCAATATGCTGACTCTGTTAATCACTTAGAAAGGGCTGCAAAGCCCTGTGAAGCAGTTGATATGTCTAAGTGCTATTGCTATTGTTATTTTTTATATAACTATAATGAAGGAAACCCACTGGGCTAATTTATTTGTTTATGTTTTGGTTTCTTTTCAAATGCAAATTCCTACTATGTAATCTCTGGAGTAGTTAATTTACATTAAGATGATAGTATGGTTGAGGAAATCAATAAAAGACAAAAGGGTATAGGGGGAAAAGTGGGGTTTATGAAGCTGATTGCCATAAGAAACTCTTGCTAATTTGCAGATTGTCCTTATTTGTGAATGATTCTCATCCATTTGTTGTTTCTTTTGGAGTGTTACCTTCATTGCACAATTTTGGATGGTTGCTGCTAATTCAAATGATCTAAAAAGATAAAGGCCAAATGGCAGTGAGATCAGGAATGGTAGTGCCTAACCCATGTGTTAGACCAGGGCAGAGGTGGTATTCAGCAGGTTCTGACCAATTCTGGAGAATCGGTAGTGGAAATTTTGAGTAGTTCAGAGAACCGGTAGTGGAAATTTTGAGTAGTTCGGAATACCACCTCTGACTGGCCCTGCCCCCATCTATTCTCTGCCTCCCAAGTCCCAGTTGATCAGCTGGGTCTTCTTTTGTTGCCCTGCACAGGAGAACAGAGCTGGAAAGCAAGTTAGTGGGATGGGGAGAGAATGGGAATTTTACTGTATCCTCCCCCTGGAGCGGGGTGGGAATGGAGATTTTACAGTATCCTTTCCCTGCCAAACCCACCAAGCCACGCCCACCAAACCACACCACGCCCACCAAGCCACACCCACAGAATCAGCAGTAAAAAAAAATTAATCCCACCACTGGACCAGGGGTTCCCAACCAGTACTGCTCTGGGTCTGTTAGGAACCAGGTAGCACAAGCAAGCAAAGCGTCATTTGTTCATATGCGGCATGCTAGGTAGTGCACAAAATCACTTCCTCCCACCTGCCAGGTCCATGGAAAATTTTCTTTTCCATAGAACCAGTCCTTACTGCCCAAAAGTTTGGGGACCACTGTATTGGACAATATCTCTTTGACGAATTAGCCATTTCCCCTGTTGTTCTCATTGTTTGGATGAGGATAAGAAAAACCTCTGATATCTCAATCCTTAGAAATTCCAGCAAATAAAATTCTCATCCACCTGTCCTAATAATATCTCTGACATTTTTGTTTGTCCATCAGATGCGGTCAACATGGGGCCCTGGTTTTTAATGACTCCAGTCCAAAAATCATGAGTCAAATTCCCTTTGGAAGTGTGTCATTGAAGAGTGTCTTTAAAGGGAAGATGGAGGACAGTGAGAGCGTTTGCTGTTTTGCAGTTAATAGTGCTGGAAATGACTCCAGTTTCATTACATTTTCTGTTTCTGAGGTTACTGGTAAGATCAATCTCCATATTCATTTGATTAAAACAAATAGTTTTCCTGAATCATTTCAGTCATTTCTCAAGATACTCTGTGTGATTTCACCACCATCTTTTTTTTTAATCTATGATTTTTCCATTCACATAAAGCAAACATTTACTATAATTGGGGGGGCGGGGGGCGGCTGAGAAAATTAAACAAGAATAGTAGAGTTATTTGAAAATTCAAATGGACAAAAAATAAAGGAAAGGGGAAAAAATCCAAAAAGGAATGGATTTCCACTTGAAACTTACACATTTTAATTCCTTTTATTTTATTTTGTTTTTGTTTTTTCGTAACTTACATGAAAAAAACCTATTGCAGGTTTTTAGCAATAAATGCACATTTTCCATCTCTAATTTCTACTCTCTAGGCTAGTTTTTCATCTTTTTGTAAAGAATGGATGGATGACTTCATGATGGATGACTATTTAATTTTGCCTTCTCCAACTGTTTTGGAAAATACATCTCTACTATCTTATTCTATTGCACCAAAAGGAGTAGAAAAATCAATGTTTTTCTTTTCTTTTTTCCCTTGTCCTACACTTTTCTCTCTTTTCTTTATCTCCCTTGTTTTCCCATTATTTTCATTTTTCTATATTTTATATTTTGAAAAGCTAATAAAAATACTATAAGAAAAGGAAAATACATCTCATCATCCCCATCTGTGAATTATTGTCCAAAATACCTGGATACATTTTCAGCATGAATTAACTCAATGCCATTCATAAAGGTATAAAGCACAAAGACAGGTATGACAAATTTAAAAGAGTAGTTTGATTCCTACATCATGCCAAATGATTGTTTGTTCAATTAACCACGATAGTCTTGGTTGGCATAACATGCTGTGCCAGAAACCAAATGCCTCACAGCTGAGTTTACTTTGCAAACACAGCAATATTGCAGACAGAGAAAAATAGTCAGGTTCTGATTATATTTACCATAGTTTGACAAAACTGACTATAGAACCTTCTTCCTTTGGTCTCAAGAATGTTGGAATTCCCTGCCACTGTTCTCTTCCTTCTGCATTTTGTTTTTCCAGGAAAGGAGAACAAGATCCCCAAACTACTTTATGCAGTCTTTGGAGGCACAATGGGTTTTCTTCTTCTATGTATCATCATCTTGGTCTATAAATATAAACAGGTAATTTTTAAAAAAATTTATGTATGGAAGGAAAAATAATCAAAAATTTGTCCAAGATACCAAAGAAGCTCTGAAACTCAAGTGACTTGGTGTCAATTGGAATAAGGACCAATTCCTCAGAAAAGATTTTAATTGTATTTGTTTTAATCTATGGAGTGATATTACTTTATTAACAATTACATTGTTGAACAGATATTGTGAACGCATGTTCTAGTTTTAGTTACCCAGGGGTAAGATTGATGGCCAATAAGTTTGTTAAATAAGTAATTTACAGAATAATAACTTAGTTTTCACAAAATACATATGTCTCCCCCCCCCCAATATAAATTATCTCTTGTTTTTTCTTTTCCTCCCTTTTTTCCTTTTATGGGTATCTTTCTCAGTTCTTATCCTATGTCTTAAGTTACTGCTTCTCCTTTTTTAATAAGGAAATGCTCTATTAATTCTTTATTCACATTTCAATGCAACAATCTGTCATTTTATTAGATTACCATAATAGGATCAGGCTGTATAAGCACAATACCAAAATTCTATGAAACATATGATTCCTAAATAATTTCTCTTCTCAGAAACCAAAATATCAAGTCCACTGGAAGATTATTGAAGCCTGTGAAGGAAACAATTACATCTTTATTGACCCTACCCAGCTTCCTTACAATGAGAAATGGGAATTTCCTAGAAGCAACCTGCAATTTGGTGAGGAGCACCTCTAAATTTTTATCTCTAATCAAAAAGCTCATTTGGCTCTACTAGTAGATTAAATACTGAAAATATGCAACAGTATGAAAATATCTAATTGTTGAATAGGATTGTGGCATTATTCTTGTTGAAAATGTTGAGGTTTTATAAAAACAGAAAAATATTGAGGTTTTATAGAAGCAGAAAAATGATGCCAGATAAAAATTAACTTTTGAATCCAAGAGTAAATAAATTCTGGAATATGCAGTTTATAGATCATCGAAATGTTGTTGTTATTGTTGTTGTTATTGTTTTTAAACCTGCTGAGATTGAATAACCAAAGCGAGGCATAATGGAAAAATAGAAAAGGCTTTTGAAAATCTCACCTTGGCCCTATTGACTTATTCACTATTAAGAGGCTCTGCTAAAAATGTTTTCAATTGGGGTAACCGCCAGAATCCTGATAATTATGTTTTCAAGCATATATTCTCACCCACACCTAGAGAGAATTAAAATCCAAATTTATTATGTATTTATTAAACTTGTGTTCCAACCATTTCATCTAGAAGCAACTCTGTAAGGCTTACAAACATCAAAACCACTAAACGTTAAAAGGGCTAAAACAATAAATAACAACAATAATAATTTGTCGTTAAAAGATGAGGAGGAAAAGGAAACACAACAGGAGAGAGAGCTGAGGTCTTCTAATCTAATAGTCACCTCCAGAGTAATATCACCTTCTTGGGGCTACAGGACAACTGGCAAAGCCAAGTCTTTAGCCCCTTATGGAGGGTCAGGAGGGTGGGTGTGGATCTTACCTCAGGGATATGGGGGGGGTAAGATGTTCCAACGGTCAAGAACCATGGCCGAAAAGGCTCTTCTGTTAGACCCTGCCTGCTGAAATTCCTTGCCGGATGAAGTCTGCAGCATGTCCCTTCTGCTGGCATGAGTGGAGCAGGCTAATCCCAGTGGGGTGATATAGGGCTGTTCAGATAGCCTGAATCAATGCTTTAAAAGTGATAAGCAGTACCTTGAATTGCACCTGGAAGCAAACCAGCAGCCAGTGCAGTTTGTGTAACAGCAGTGTAACGTGGGCCAACTTAGGCGCCCCGACAATTGGCCATGCCACTGCCTTCTGCAACAGTTGTGGCTTTCCAATACTTTTCAAGGGCAGCCCCATGTACAGTTAATTTGCAATAGTCTAATTACTTCAGTTTACATCTGAATGACAACAAAATAAAGGGCTTTTTTTCAATCACTTATTGAAAGTGCCGAAGGAAACATTCTGCTTCTTGGAGATGCGATTTTCTTTTCTTTCTATAAACATGGACAAATCTGTTTTTATCTCAAAGTATTTTTGTTCATTTGAAATTGTATCTGATCTTAGGGCTATAATAAATTTTGAAATCATTTGAAATGGTTTTTCATGCTTACAAGTCGGCAGAAGATGAATTGTGGCTCCAACTTCTTTTACATGGATACAGAGTATTTTTAAAAAACATAAGAAGCCAAGATCATGAATATTTATGACAGAAACGTACTTATATAAGGAGACAGGAAAAGGCTGCCTCCTTTCTCCTTCCTTGTTTTGATTGGCATTAGAGTCTCTAGCAAATAATGTATGCCAAGAAAAAAAAAACTGGAATTAAATTAGAAACTCAGAAACTAAAATAATATACTATTGATGTTGTACTTCAAATTGGTCAGCCAAATGTCCTATGATAAAACTGATAGAATACATATAGCAATATGTTTCAATATTCATATCAATGCATGTTATTAAAAGTAAGTTTAATTTAAAAAATGACAGTATTTCTTTCACAGGAAAAGTCCTTGGAGCTGGAGCTTTTGGGAAGGTGATTGAAGCCACAGCTTTTGGGCTGGGAAAGGAGGATTCTGTCTTGAAGGTGGCAGTGAAAATGCTGAAATGTAAGTACTAGATCAGACCAGCTCCTATGAACCAAAGAGGTTTTCTTTTTCTTTTTTCTTTCTTTTTCTTTGGCCCTACTGATTTCATTTTTTTTTTCATATTTACAAATATTCCCCCCCCCCCCGATTTTTATCTGTATTCCCTTTAGCACTACCCAGTTCAATTCTTTATTTATGTTTACTTGTATACTTATTACGAGTTTTCACATGTTAAAATGGGGATCCCCAACCCCCGGTTCACAGACTGGCACCAGCCCATAGCATGCCAGAAACTGAGCCTTGCAAACAAACGAAGACCCCTCTGTGGGATGCAAGTAACACATTAAACTATGCCCCCTCTGGTCCGTGGGAAAACCTCTGCCCACAGAACAGATTGCTGGTGCCCTAAGGGTTGGAGGCTGTGTTAAATCAAAAGAAAAAAAGAAAAAGAAAAATGCATGAAAAAAAGAAAAGTGCACTAAAGTTTCCTTATTCTTTTTTCATGCACTTCTTTTTTTTTCTTTTGATTTGTCTTTTAACATATGAGTGTTAACTAAAGTTTCCCTTTTTCCTAAATGACTTTGACCTCCTTTTCAACAGATGATTACACTCTTATTGCCTTAAATATTTTACAACTCCCCCCCTTTTAGAATAGAATAGAATAGAATAGAATAGAATAGAATAGAATAGAATAGAATAGAATAGAATAGAATAGAATAGAACTGGAAGGGATCTCGGAGGTCTTCTAGTCCAGCTCCCTGATTAAGCAGGAAAACTTATACTATTTCAGATAAGTGGCTGTCTAGTCTCTTCTTAAAAACCTTGAGTCTGCAGACATCTTCCTCATCATCTGTTGACTCTTCCAGCTCAGTGTGATCTTGCCAGGCTGCGCTGTTGCGATGCGTGTTGTTTGAGCTTTTTTTTTAAATTACCACCATTGCTTTGATTGACGTCTCGGTGTCTTGGGCTTCCTCTATTGCCATTTTCAGAGTGAGATTGGGTTTCACGAGTAGTCACCATTGTAGTTGTAAATCTTTCACCCCACAAACGAATCTGTCCAGTAATATGTCTTCGAGGTCCCTAAATTCACAGTACATAGCAGCTTTTCGCAGGGCTGTGATATAATCATTTATTGATTCAGTGTCATTTTGATTCCGGCGGTGAAATTCATGTCATGTGACGATCTTCAAGGTTGTGAGTGCATAGTGAGTCCTGAGTGCATTTGGGATTGTATCCCACATCACCATCTGCACAGCTGTGGGAGCAACCAGAGTTTTGGCCATGTCAAAAATTTCTGAGCCACAGTAACTCAAGAACAGGACTTTCTTTCTATTGTCCGAGGGTGCTTCAGCTCATTGGCTTCCAGGAAACAGTCAAATTGGATTAGATAAGAGTTCCAATGTTCGACAGCTGGGTTGAACGGTATTGGTGGAGCGTGCGTGGCCATCTTGCCAATATGCAAAGGCTATTTTTGTTCTGAGAATCGTTTCGGTTGCTCCACTGTTCCTCTGTATTTCAATCAGCTCTTTTTGTGTCTTCTTTCTAAGATCCCACCTTCATCGCCAGTGTTGTATTGTGGGTTAAAAGAAGGCTCGGATCCAGGATAACAAAAGCAACTTCTTAATTCAAGTAACAGCAACAACCAGCAAAAGTTCCGTCTGACAGTTCTCCTTTTATAGGAGCTGTCTAACAGGCCAACCAATCAGCTCTTAGTATTTTCCCGCTTAATGGCGGACCAGAGGGAAAACTTTCCTTCTAACAGAACACATTTTTGTTGTTTGTTCTCTGCATGGCCAGATAAGTCTTGCTATTTCTGCAAGTTCTGAAATTTTCGCAATCCATTTCTCCATCGTGGGAATCTCATTTTTCATCCATTGTTTGGCCCACCCACTTCAGTGATTCAGAGAGAGCCACAGAAGAGTATTTGGGAAGTATGCATCCCTGATGTAATGTATGTGGATGCCCACAGTCACTCTTTCCCAACCATTACTGTTGCAGAAGTAGGCTTCTACACTGGCTAAGGTTTGAACTAGCTCCATTCTAACTGAATGATTGAAAAAATAACCTGGTGTTTTTCCATCATCTGGTGTTTTCATTTCAGGTGTCATGTTTATTTCCTATATCCTGCTCCCATATTTGACTTCAAATTAATTGTTCTCGTGTTGGATTTCAGCAACTGCACATACAGATGAGAAAGAAGCTCTTATGTCTGAGCTGAAAATCATGAGTCATTTGGGTCACCATGAAAATATTGTCAATCTTCTAGGAGCATGTACCCATGGAGGTAATTAGTCTTCTCATCATTTCCTTTCTGGTTCACAGAAATATTGTTTCCTTTCTTTTCTGTCATTGGTTGAATCATAGGTTTCCAAATGAAGATGATAATCACTACTTGAATAAATATTTGTTTGAAAATATCAAATCTCCATCAAACTATGCCACCAATGGTTTAATTCCAGAACTTAAAACATATAGCAGAGCGGAAACTGTGCTCAGCTTAAGAGATCCTTTATTTTCATATCCTCCTTCAGAGCTGTCTGAGTTGAATGAATAAGACAGATTAAAAAATAATTCCACCTTCACATCTTGAAGTTGCTATGGTAGAGAACAGGGGTGGGATTCAAATTTCTTAACAACTGGTTCTGTGGGCGTGGCCTAATTTGTGGGTGGCTTGGTGGTCATGTGACTGGGTGGGCATGGCTTGTTGACTGGGTGTGGCTAGGTGGCCATGTGACTGGGGTGGGCATGGCTAGGTGGCCATGTGACTGGCAAACCAAATATAAGTGGTTCTCGCTTAATGGCCAGTTGCTTAGCAAATGTTCTAATTATGACTCACCTCCCCAGAACTACTTGACCTGTTTTTGGTGTTTTGACAGCAATGCACACACACACACACACATGCAACACGCACACGCACTTATGACCAGTTACAACATCCCACACACTCTTGTGACTGAGTTTTTTTGCCAGTTTCCAACAATTCCTTCTGGTTTCTGATTAAAAATGCCCATTGGGGAAAACTGACTTGTTTACCAACCAGTGTTTGCTTAATGACCACAAGGTTCATTTAATGACCATAGTCTGCAACCTTAAACACTCAAAGAGCCATTTTTCTATTTTATTTTAAACAGGTATCTCTCTCTGTGTGTCTCTCTCTCATCTCTTTCTCTCTCTTTCATCTCCCTCTTTCTTTATGATTGTGTATGTGTGTGTGTGTGTAGCATGTGTATATGTGTGTTATGTATGTGTATGGATATGTATACATATTTCACTATTAATGTGTGCCAATGTAGTTACAGTAAAAAAATGACAATAAAAGTTATATTTTCCTATCTTCCTTCTTTCCTTCCCAACCCCATTCCTCCCCATACCCTATTTTGTGTTGGCTTCCCAGCCAAGCATTTACCAAGTCTGATCCTGTTTAGCTTTCTAAAATCAGCCTACTGAAATAAATACCAAACTAAACTGCCCAATAATTTACTTACTATCACTATCTTGCACCTGATTTCAATGTAAACAGCCAATCTGCAGTATTACTAAATTTTGCTAGGCATCTGCTTCATGTTATTTTTCTCTTCCTTGATAATCTAGTCTTAGCTGGGAAAAACAGTCACTGGCGAGAGCAGCTCAGTTCAGAGAAAAGTCGTACGACTGCCCATATTTTTTTCTCCACAAGCAGCCTTGTCTCCTCCTCCTCATTTGTGAAGTTTAAAGATGCTGCAAGAGGCTGCTCGCTGAGAGAGGAATATGGGGAGATGCATGACTTTTCTCCATGCCGTGAGGGCTGCACTCTCTCTCTTGACTCCACTCTTGGTGCAGAGAAAAGTTGGCGGGAGCAGCAGTTGAGGGTTGATCGCCCATCCTGGTGCTCACGCTCACCATACCTTTGCGGGGTGGGGGATGCATTGGCAGGGAGGCGGCAATGGCAATGGCCACAAGGAAGGCAATGGCGATTCCAGTGGCATCAGAACTTCCGGAACCAGCTCTCCCTGACGGCCATCCATGCAGCCGCACACATGGTGCATCAGAGCTTCCAGGCTCTGCTCCCCGCAACCACCGTCAGCTGTCCTGGACTTGATCAAGGGGTGACTTGCAGACATGAGCCTCTCCACATGTTCCTTCCTGCTGCTCTTGATGGGAGAGCAAGGGAGTTTTTCCTGGCATAGTGAAATGCTTGCAAGTCCCCCTCCCATTGGAAACTGCTCCTGAGCAGCAGAGAGAAGCAGGATTCAACCTGGCTGGTTCTCTGCTGCCCAGGAGCCTCTTCCAATGGGAAGGGGACTTAAAGCATTTCACTGTGCCGGGAAACTCTCTTGCTCTCCCAGCTAGAGCAGCAGGTGAGAGAAGCAGCTGCTAACCTGGCTGGAGCCTACACGAGCCTCTCCACATGTTCCCCATGGTGGAAGGCAAGTGATGGGGGAAAGGTGACCAGCAGTGGTGGCAAAAGGCAAGTGGGGGGGGGAAGGCAACTGTCAGTGGCAGATAAGTGACCGGGGCTTGCAGAGCCTCACTCACCCAGGGAGATCAGTTCAGGCAGGGATGCAGTGGAAGGCAGGCAGCAATGGCTGGCCTGGCGAGTGCACAAAAGCAGGCTGAAGGCAGCAGTGTCAGGCATGCGCATGATGTGCATGCGCGATAAGAACTGACTGGGCAGGTAGTGGAGAAGCAGCGGAGAGGGGCAGGGCCAGACAGAGGTCCGATTTACTGATTCTCCAAAGTACAGTGAATCATAACAATCAGTTCTACCAAACCGGTCCGAACCAGTAGAATCCCACCCTGGTTGAGAACTACTAGTCTAGTGGATCCTAGATAAACAGTAGAAATAGATGACCCATAGGTCATTCTAACTTTGTGATTCTTTCATTAGGTACCACTTCACTGATCAATGCTGCTATGTAGCAGAAAACCTATTGTACTTTCAAGTAATGTTTCTTTTCTGTTTTCTAGGCCCTGTCCTTGTAATTACTGAATATTGTCCCTTTGGGGACTTGCTGAACTTCCTGAGAGAAAAAGCTGAGCATCTCATAATCGAGGGTTTAACCTTGGAATATACTTTTGATAGCATGATGGCTGATTACAAAAATATCTACCTTGGAAAAAAGTATGTCCAAAGAAGGTAATAAGTTAGTCATTAGTGGCCTCCACTTATATGGGGTGTAAAAGTGCATTAACAGTTTGTTGATACAGCTGGTGCTAAATGACAGCACATCTATTAAGTGTGCAAACAATTGCCCAGAGTCACTTTGGAGAGTGACATCATGGATGGCCTATACATTTAATTAATTATTAAAATAGTAAACAATTATTCTATTGCAATCTCCAGTAGGGACTCCAATTTCTATTTTAAGACAGATATGGGTAATCTGAAATTCTACACCCACATGTCAAACCCAAATCTCCTCTTTTTTTTTAGATACAGATCATTCCAGCCATAACTGACAAAAATCACCTACGCAGATCCCCAACATTTTAAGTCAAGAAAGACACAGAAATTCTAGCCTAAACTTGACTATGTATAATTCTGAAATATTCCTTTATTTACTCCAGGGAAGAGGGAGAAAGTCCTGCTTGTCCCTGTGTGTGAACCAGGTCTATTCAGTTCTTCAGGAGACCTATTAGAATTAAACCAAAGCTTATTGACTATTTGTGGGACAGATATGCTCTTAAAACTGATAGAAACTGTTAATTATTTTTTTCCTCTTTTGATTTCTTTCATTCAGTGATAGTGGATTTGGATGCCAAAGTGTCGACAGTTATTTGGAAATGAAATCGGTCATAGCATCAATGCCTACGCCAGCACAAGGTAATACTCAAAGATCACGGCCAAGAGAAATGGAAAGATACACCAAAAAGGGATATATCTGTTCTAGAAATTTAGCAACGTTAGTAATCTTTTGACTAAATTGCTGTTTGCTTATTTCTATGCATTTCTCTCATTGGAGAACTCAGTGCAACCTGGCCTTCTTATCTTCATAATGGTTATGTTAGGTAGGCTTAACTGGCTGAGAGTTGATTCTTTGCCAGGATGTGTTGCAGGAGTTTGCCTTTGGAGAAAGGCAAACTTGATGCAAGGATGATAATTATGTCCTCAGGTTCCACTTTTTGGATTAGTATCAAGATTGTGGGAGTTGGACAGCCAGAAACATGTTTATTTGCTGTTATGGCACTCACCACTTCATTGTTACCTGGACACTGTATCTGAATAGTTCCGTTTCTGTGTGGTGGTGTCTCTCTTGCAAGGAATCTTTTTAAAGATCTTTTAGTCTGTTTATTCAACTTTCCATTCCTTTCTTTAATCCTCCTGTTTCTTCCCTTACTTTCACAATATATTATTTTCCAACCTTTTTAAAATTGTTGTTTAATCATGTATCAATTGAACTAATTTTTACTTACTCATTCTCCCGTATTGATACTTCCTGCAAATATTTTTAAATTAGCATCTGTCTAAACCAGGGGTGTCAAACTCAAGGCCCGGGGGCCAGATCTGGCCCACAGGGTACTTAGAACTGGTCTGCAGGGCTGGCCTGGAAATAGTGAAGGATCGGCCTGCGGTGCTTCTGCCAGCAAAAACAGGCTCCGGAGCTCCATTTTGGGCTGCCACGGCTTCCTGCAACCCTCTGCCAGTGAAAATGGAGCCATGTAGGAGGCTGTGGCAGCCAAAAATGGAGCTTGGGAGCCATTTTCACTGGCAGAGTGCTCAGACCGCCAGAGTGCTCACCAGGCGCCCCGACTGGTGAGCTGGCCACATTCACCCTGGCCACACCCACTCTACCCCGAGGTCAAACACAACCCTGATGTGGCCCTCAATGAAATCGAGTTTGACATCCCTGATCTAAACTGTAAATACCATAGGTCTGTGCATCTAGATTCTCCTTTTCCTCCTTTTTCCCCCCACTTTTGCCTTACAAGCAGTGTTCCTTCACAGCGGAAGATTTTTATAGAACTGCTCCTGCTGGTGGCTCATTCATTGTGGTTTTTGGCAAAGGATCCTTATTAGCAGAATGGCAAGCACTGGATAAATATATGCCATCTGGAGAACTCTAAAGCATTACATTTGTCTTTCAAACCATGCCAGTTTGGTTCTTCTCTGTTTGGAACATTAAAAACAGTCCCCTATTCTGAATGATTTACTTGTGGAAAGTTTTCAGGCCAGCCAACTCAGTGTGATCCAGGAAAAAGGGAACTTTTCATCTCTGGGGTGATTGGGACGTTTAAGACATAGCTACTACCTATAATTGCAGTCCTTAAAAATCCCCAGTGATGCATATGGACACATAATAAATAATATGTGCATACTATATATAACAATAATATAGCAGATATAGATGTTAAAGGACTATTGCCATAGATAAATCTCTTTGATCTCTTTGTTGTAATGTTCTTACAACAGCTATACTTAAATTCCTCAAATACAGACATGACACAGATTTCAATGTGTGCAGGGTCTGTATCAGATCATTGCTTTCATAGAATCATTTATTTTATTTATTTATTTTATTTATTTATTTATTTGATTTGCCAATTGTTTACAAGATAATAAGTATAAATGTATACATAGTTGTGAATACATGAAATGGTTACATATAAGAAAAATAAAAGAATAGGAGAAACAATAGGACAGGGACGGTAGGCACGTTGGTGCGCTTATGCACGCCCCCTACAGACCTCTTAGGAAAGGGGTGAGGTCAATAGTAGACAGTCTAAGGTTAAAGTTTTTGGGGTTTGGGGAAGAAACTACAGAGTCGGGTAGAGTATTCCAGACATTGACCACTCTATTGCTGAAGTCGTATTTCCTGCAATCAAGTTTGGTGCGGTTTACTTTGAGTTTGTATCTATTGTGTGCTCTTGTGTTGTTATGGTTGAAGCTGAAGTATTCATTGACAGGTAGGACATTGCAATGTATGATTTTGTATACCATGCTTAAGTCAGACCGAAGACGGCGTAATTCAAGGTTTTCTAGTTCTAGAATTTCAAGTCTGGTGGCATAAGGTATTCTACAGCGAGTAGAGGAGTGGAGAACTCTTCTTGTGAAATATTTCTGGACTTTCTCAATTGTGCTAATATCAGATACATAGTGTGGATTCCAGACTGATGAACTGTATTCGAGTATTGGTCTAGCAAATGTTTTGTATGCTCTGGTTAGTAGTGTGATATTACCAGAGAAAAAGCTACGTAGGATTAGGTTAACAACTCTTAATGCCTTTTTGGCTATGTAGTTGCAGTGTGCTCTAGCACTTAGATCATTAGAGGTGAGTATTCCAAGGTCCTTTACAGAGCTTGGGTCATCAACAAGATCTTGACTATTCAGCTTGTATTTTATTTTCTGATTTTTTTTGCCAATATGTAAGACAGAGCATTTATTTGTTGAGATTTGAAGTTGCCATTTGTTTGACCACTCTGATACATAGTCAAGATCTTTTTGTAGGGTAGCAGTATTGTCTGTGGTATTGAACAGCTTTACATCATCAGCGAAGAGAACGCAATTGCTCTTAATATGATCACAGAGGTCGTTTATGTAGAGTATGAAGAGAGTTGGTCCTAGAACACTGCCTTGGGGAACACCACTATTGACAGGTACTGGATTTGATAGGACGCTCCCGATTTTGACCATTTGTTGTCTGTTTGACAGGAATGCTTCTATCCAGTTATTCAGTTGTCCAGAGATACCATAGGATTTTATTTTTAGGAGTAGTTTGTCGTGTACCACTGAATCAAAGGCTTTACAGAAGTCTATGTAGATTGCGTCTATTGTTTTGCCCTGGTCGAGTTGTGTCGTCCATATGTTTTTGCAGTGTAAGAGTTGCAGATTACAGGATAGTTTTTTCCTGAAACCAAATTGTTTATTGGAGAGTAGGTTATTTGTCTCTAAGTGAAGGATGATGGATTGGTTAATAATTGATTCCATGACTTTACAGGTGACGCAGCATAAGGAGATTGGCCTGTAGTTTTCAACTAGGCTTGGGTCTCCCTTTTTGAAGATGGGGATGACTGTGGCTTGTGACCATAGGTTAGGCAAGGAGCTGGTTCTGAAGGATTTTTCAAAGATTATGCTTAGAGGTTTGGCTATGGCAGAGGATAGCTTTCTTAAGAAGTAGGCACATATTCCGTCCGGTCCAATAGATAGAGATGGTTTTAGGTTGCGTATTGCTTTTTCAACATTGTCTTCTGTGAAATCGATATGTATTAGATCATTGTTGTTATCTGTGGTACGGCTAGGAAATATTGGGCATGATCCATTGCTGTTTACAAATACTGAGCCGAAGAATGTGTTAAAGATGTTGGCTTTAATGGTGTCGTCGTTGCAGTCTTTACCATCAGGTCCTATCAAGGGAGGGATGGACCTTGAGTCTTTTAGTTTGTTGTTTACAAAATTGTAAAAAGCGCGGGTGGAATTGGTGCTTAGAAGGTTTTCCTCTTGTTTAATGTGATAATTGGTGCATTCGGTCTTTATCTGGTGGCATAGATTTTTGTATCGGTTTTTGAAATTGGCAACGTGACCAGATTTGTTTTTCCGCCAGAGTGATCTCTTTTTGGATTGAAGTTTCCTTATTGATATGGGTAATCTGCTTTTTTGTTTTGTTTTGGGAGTTGTTGTTGGTACATATAGTTTGATGACTCTTTTGACTTCAAGTAAAAATATGTTATAATGGTCTTCAACAGTATTGCATCCAGTGAATAGAGATTGCCAATCAAGGGATGAGAGATCATTGTCTATAAGATCATAGTTGCCTTTTTTGAAGTTACAATAGGGGATTACATCATTGTGGTGATTTTTGTGTGGATGTATGTTGAGACAAAAGTCGATCATATTGTGGTCACTACTGGAAAAGGGTTCTTTAGATTGTATTCCGTAGATTAGGTTCAAACTGTTGCAGAAGATGAGATCGAGGCAGTTGTTTAGTCTAGTGTTGTTGGTTACTAGTTGTTCCAGTCCCAGATTTGTAATAGCATTGTAGAAGGTTGTGTGTATGATTTCAGTTGTACAATCATTTAGGGTCCAGTTAATATGAGGTAGATTGAAATCACCAAGAAGGATAAAAGGGTATGGGCAGGATGCAGCCCATGTTAGTAATGTATTTAGCTTGTTAACATGTTCGATGTCATAATCAGGTGCTCTGTAACATAGTAAGAATCGAATTGTGATATTTGAGAATAGTTCACAGATGATGGTTTCAGGAAGGGCAAACTCCTGGGTAACTTGGATATTTTTTAGATGTAAGGATTTTTTTATAGAATATAGCAACTCCACCTCCTCGACGATTTTCACGATCTGATCTGTAAACATGATAGTCTCTTACTGTGGTAATGGAGTCGGGGAGAGATGCATTGAGCCATGTTTCACAGACAAATATAATGTCGAAGTTAGCCATATTTAGGAGGATGAGAAATTCAGGTATTTTATTCACGAGGCTTCTTGCATTGAGTAGTTTGCATTTAAGGCCGGCAGTAGTTGGAATTGAGGTAGTTGGGGGCGTGCGTGCCTAGTCTTGGGTGATGGTGGATGGGTTGAGGTAGGGTTGTGGTTGAGGGTAAAAGCTGAGTATTGGGTTGAGTGGTTTACTTTTGATACAGTCAGCATGGTAGTCAATGTACAGGTCCTTCTCTCCATTATCTAGACGGTTTTTGAGTTCGATGCGGAGTGCACGGGAGCGGGCACGTTGCTGTATGGTTAGGTCAGGGCGGCAACGGAGGTTCTTATGGATGGTGTTGGTTTTGGCGAGTGAGTTTATAGTATAAATGAATTTACGTTTGCTTGATTCATTTTTGCAAATGACCCTGCACAAGCGTGGGGCCACAGAGCCATCTCTATTTTTGAGCTCTCGGTCAATGCGGGAAATGTCAAGTATTTCATCAGCGGAGATGGTTGATGCTTGATAATTTCTGATGATGTTTCGGACAGTTGTGATGTCATCATTGACATTGATGTCTTCTAGACCAAATAAGATGGCGTTTGGGCGTTTCCGTTCACGCTCAACGGCTTCTCTGATGAGAATTGGGATATCAATATTTGTCTGGGTTGTGTTTATTTGTGGATTGGGTTGTGGATTGGATTGTGGTTGATTGGTAGAGATGTGGTTAGTAGCTATTGGATGTTCAGGTTTTTGCGTTGTGTCCTTTTTTTCAAGGTTGGATATTCTTTCTTTTACGGCGTCCAGGGATGCTACTATGATGTTGAGGGATGTTGTAATGGTTTCGATGGTAGGGGATGTTTCAATGGTTTCAATGGTATCAACTCTTTCAGGCAGATCCAGTTTGGGTCTGCATGATTTGCAGATATGTGGAAACTCATTGGATGATTTTAGGTATTGAATCATCTGCTCAGGTAATCCCAAGCAGTCATGATGAGTGTATTTTTTACACAGAGAACATTTGATGGAGTTTTCATTATCCTTTAGATTTTTGTAGCATTTAAGGCATGTGCAGGAGTCTTGTGGTTCACTGGTGGGGATCATCTTCTCTTTAGGTTGTGGTTTGATGTAGGATTTTCTTTTTGGCATGGTAGGATTGTTAAAATAGTACGTTGATTGAATTAATTAGAGGAACAATTTTGGGTAATCTATATAGCCAATATTATATCAAACAATCAATTGCAGTAATCTCTCAAGTCAGATAATATTCCTGAGCAACAATCAGCCTGAATAGTTAATTACTCTAATCATTAATCAATTAATTACACTAATCATTAACCACACTGTTCATTTAAATTCACTAATTATTAACCACACTGTTCATTTAAATTCACTAGATCAATGATTTTGCTATTCAATTAAATTACATGAATTTTGGTCTTTTAAACTAGTCAGTAATCACACTATTTGCACTAAACACTCTAATCACACTAATCAATTAAAAACAATAAATCAGTTAAACCATTAATAAAATATTTTATAGAAATTGATTATCTAATCGTTGATATAGCTGATGAGGTAGAAAAGTTGTAAGATTTGAGGTAATGAGGTAGTATTAAGAGTCTGCAAGGAACGGGTTAATTGTTTAACTGGCAGAGAGGAATTTATCGCTGTTTGAAAAGCAGATCGCTATTACTCTGTAAACAGGAAGTTGTAACACAATGATCCAAGGGTTTTTATCTGAGTGAAGGAAAGATTGAACAGCTCACAGGAAACTATTTGTTTTTGTTTTCCCTTGATGAATGAGATGGCCCTCGCCCGCTTGCCTTTGCGCCTCCGGGCTGTTTGTTAGCGCTCTTTCGCGGGTCGTGAGAACGCTCGCTTTGTGCCACGAACGAATCTTTGTATCTTTTGAAAGGCCAGCAATCCGCCAAACATTTACTCTAAACTAGTTCTATTCGAGTCTGAGTCCCGAGGGCGCCAAGCAGAGATAGCGCCTGCAGTCCTCACTTTCTCTTGGGGGAGATGATTCTGCCGGCCCTTCCCGATCGTTTCCCGGCACTTTCACTTTCCCCTCTGGGGCTGTTTCCTTTCCGCGCCGCGGATGGGCTCAGCGCCGAAGAAATCGCCTCCTTCCCGGGAAGAAGCAGCGAAGAACTCGGAAGTCCAAGAAATGCAAAATCCCCTCGCTGGGAACCCCTCGCGCTTTTCCTCCCCCACGGGTCAGATCGGCTTTTCAGGTGGCCCCGCAAATGGAAGCTCTGTCCTCTGCCTTTAGCAACCGGAAAATGGGACTTCTCCAAGAAAGCCTCGGCGAAGAAAGTTTTTTCGGAGCGTCTCGGGGCTGCAGAGGCTCTCCAAGCGCGCGCGCTCGCCAGGCCGCCCGCTAGATCCCAGCCGATCGCTCGATCTTGTCCAGATCTGGCTTTTCATGATCCTTCTATATGCTGGGAGACAGAGCGTGGGGTATTTTATTACTTCCCTTTTATTTTTATTTTGTAATATTTATAGATCACACAATTCAGTCAGTCTTTGCTTGGTTCCTCAAGTTTCTCATAGGATTGGCTTGTTTCATGCCGTATTAACTTTAATGAGAGATTTTCTTAAAAGGGCTGCAACTTTTTTTTTCAAACTTATGCAGAAAACAATTTTTAAAAAATGACAAGTTGCTTTAATGAAAGCAGTTCACACAAAATTGAAAGTGTCTTTTTTCAAATTATTTTTGAAGCATGTATAACCTGACCATTTTCAGCCAGAAGTCATTTTGCATGTAAATAATTGTCCATGAATTGCATCTTTACCCCTTCCAGCTTCATCATTTATATTCTTTAATCATCATCCGTTAAAGTGAATTTCACAATTAAAGCTGTTTGGGTATATATTTTCTGGTCACAAATCCTTTCCAAATACAAAGCAGTTCCAATAAAGGAGAATATTTGTAGCTCAGAGTTGAAATGAGGGGTCTTTGGTGCTCTCTCTGAGCTTGGTTGTTTTCTTACAGTCATTTCATTACCCATCTAGATCAGTGCTAGCAAGCTCAGAGAACACCAAAGATCCCTCATAAAGTAGTTCTTTATATGTAAAGTCCATAGATAAGAAAATCAATATATAGGTAGAGCAATTATGGATGAGCAAAGAGAACAGAACCATTAAATCTCCTTCTGCTCAGCAATTTTCAGTTCATTCTTGCAAATACCAATAGCACTTAAACTTATATACCACTTCACAGTGCTTTTACAGCCCTCTCTAAGAGTGATTTACAGAGTCAGTGTATTTGCATATCTAGGGTCTCATTTTACCAACCTCGGAAGGATGGAAGGCAACCTTGAGCCTGGTGAGATTCGAACTGCCAAATTGCAGGTAGCCAGCAATCAGCAGAAGTAGCCTGCAGTACTGCACTCTAACCACTGCGCCACCACAGCTACCAAAAATCAGTTCCATTAGTTTCTTGGGAGTTACTTATATTTAATCTCTAGGTAGTAAGGCCTTTGTTATCATGGGTGATTTCAGATTCAGAGAGTTCACTTCGCTTGAGAATTATACTTTTTGACCCTTCTTATCTTAATGTCTTACTGCTAAGCGGCCTCTTTGCAACTATCGTTACCTATCCTTCAAACGCATACCTTCAGTGATCTCTGTGAACTTTCTCCCAATCCAGGAACAAGTTTGGTATCAGCTGAAGGAAAAAAAAACCTACGTTCTCTTGATCTCTTTGACTTGCTGCAGTTCTCCAACCAAGTGGCCCAGGGAATGACTTTCCTGGCTTCAAAAAACGTGAGGACATTCTGACAATGTACATCATCATCATCATCACCATCATCCTAAAAGGAGTTCAGGCCCAAGCTTGATTTCCTGTATTATCTTCCTACCAGGAAGGAATTTCGTTGTTATTACACACAATAATATACAGGTAGTCCTCAACTTAGAACAGTTCGTTTAGTGACTGTTCAAAATTACAGTGGCACTGCAAAAAGTGACTTATGACCATTTTTCACAGTTATGACCATTGCAACATCCCCATAGTAACATGACTTACATTCAGATGCTTGGCAACTGGTTCATATTTATGATGGTTGCAGTGTCCCAGCATCAGGTAATCATATTTTGCAATCTTCTGACAATCAGTCAATGGGGGAAGCCAGATTCACTTAACAACCATGTTACTAATTTAACAACTGCAGCGATTCTACCGTGTTTCTCATATAATAAGGCCAGGTCTTTTTTTTTTTTGAGCCCCCCAAAAATGGCTAGGCCGTCTTTTCAGGGGTGACTTAATTTCCCCCCCCCCTTTGCATCTTCGGGCAGGCGGGCAGCGATGGCTTGGATGTTGACCTCGGCATTGGTGGGGCACTTCGTATCGGGGTCAACACAGGCAGCACCATATCCGGGTGTGCAACAAAAGTACTTCCTAACGGCAAGCCCCCCCACCATTCCCCCCCCCATTTCGCATGTTTTAATATAGGCCTTAATTTGGGGGGGAGGAGCTTAATTTCATTTCATGCCTATAAAACATGCTGGGACTTCCTATTGGGGGAGGCCATATTGTTGGAGAAACAGGGTACTTAACAAATATGGCAAGAAAAGTCATAAAATGAAGCAAAACTGACATAGCAACATCAATTCTGGGCTCAATTGTGGTCGTATGTTGAGGACTACCTGGACAATCAGTTCATAGTGCTGTGATTCCTGAGATGATCCATGTATAATTTAAGAATTTGTTCTTAGAGGGTATACTACTTGGAAGTATTCTTTTGGATTCTGTCTTTAATCACACACAATTCTGTGTGGCTTTTGAGAACAATAGCAGCTGTGTGAGAGTGAATATATAGTCCTGTTAAAGATAATGTGAACAGTGTGTTCTTGCTTTTCTAACCAACATAAAAAGAAGCAGATTGATTGATTGATTGATTGATTGATTGATTGATTGATTGATAAAATTTATATGGTTGCCATTTAGGATACAAACTTTGGGCATCCATTTGAATATGTGTTTGCTTAGCTGCTGTAGGAAGCAAGGAGTAATCTGACATAAACGTTAGCTTTAGCAACCCCTGTCCTTTCCAATGGTAGCAACTGAAAGTAACAGTTGATGATTTTTGATCCTGTCTTATAAATCCTATTGACAAGAACACTCTCTTTGGTTCTTTATTGCAGCAGAGCTGTCCATAGAAATTATATTCAACAGGAAATTCAGTGGCTGAGACACAGATTCTATAAAATAATAGGTCTTTCCATCTCTTCCTGTTATGTCCCGCCTTCTAAAATAAACAGTTAAGGCTGAAAGCAGCAGTCCTTGTAAAGAAAGGCAGCAAACAGGAAAATGTTATGTCCCACCTTTTAAAGTAAACAGATAAGGCTGAAAGCAACAGTCCTTGTAAAGAAAGGCAGCAAACAGGAATTTTCACAGATAGCTCCAATAAGTAAAAGTTCCAACGAACTAAATCCAAGACTCAACAAGATTCTTCAGATCAAATTCCTTCACAAAATAATTCCAATAAGTAGAAGTTCCAACGAATTAAATCCAAATCCCAACAAGATATTTCAGATCAAAATCCTCCAAACTGTGCTCTTCAGTTCTCCTTGCAAATAGACACTTTGTTCCGGACAAAGTGCAAAGTCATATCTCTCCCTTTATAGAGTAACTAATTAGTCTAATTGCTGGTCTGCTCTCCTACTGTAACCTCGTTGGTTCCTCCTTGTCAGGAGACGTCTTGTCCTGACATCTACCCAGCAATCATCCAAATTATCATCTTCTTCACCTGAAGATAACATTTGTTCCTCATTATCACCCGTTCCCGGCTGACCACCTAATTGAAGGGTGGAGGAGTTTGAAGGTTCAAGCCGACCTTGCAAATCAAATGCATTCATCTCCTCCTCATCGTTAGAACTTGCTGATTCATATAAGTCCTCCTCGCTGGAGCTGTCATTCAAAAAACCTGTAGCAGATGCCGGAATCACAACACTATCCCTCACCGCAGGGCCCTTCCCCCGGGTCTGGCGATCCGGATGCGGTTTCGAAGGGAAGCGTGCATGAAAGTCTCGAAGCAGATCCGAAGCATGAAGTGTAGACGCATCCGTCCAGGAACAAACCTCCGAGTCATCTACCCTCCTCCTGACCAAATACTGGAAGCGACCTTTGAGCCAACGGGAATCAAGGACGTCGACCACCGTATCGTCAACAGCAGGCTCCTCAGAAGGCAATGATAACGGACCCGGTTCAGCAGAATCACGTAATCGACAAACAGAAGAATCAGGAATCAAAAGAGATCGATGAAAGACGGGGTGAATACGCATGGATCGTGGCAAAGTGAGGCGGTATGCCACGGGATTAATAACTGCCTCAATCGGGAACGGACCAATAAACCGATGATCAAGTTTTCTAATAGGGCGATCGACCTTCAGATGTTTTGTAGATAGCCACACTTTATCACCCACAACTAACGGAGGTGTATCTCGACGGGACCGATCTGCAAACCGCTTATAATCTTCTTTTGCCTTGTTCAATTGTTGTATCAGTAGACGGCGAACTGCGTGTAGTTCTTCCAAAAACTCTCGGGTCTCAGGAACCGGGGAATCCATCATAGTTAATGGGAAGAAACGCGGATGATAACCCATATTTGCAAAAAATGGCGTGACACGGGTGGAGGTATGCTGCGAGTTGTTAAACGCGAATTCTGCTAACGGGAGGTATTTCACCCAATCGTTTTGTCGCAAATTAACAAAACATCTCAAATATTGAGTAAGAATCCCAATCACCTTCTCCGTCCCGCCATCAGTTTCCGGATGGTGCGCTGACGCTAAACATACTTTCACTTGCAAAGCCGCCATTAACTGTTTCCAAAATTCTGCCGTAAACTGGACCCCACGATCAGAAACCACTCTATCAGGCAGTCCATGTAGACGGAAGATATGTTGCAAAAATAACTGAGCCGTAGTGCGGGACGATGGTAATTTCCGACAGGGAATGAAATGGGCCATTTTAGTCAACATATCCACTACCACAAGCACTGTTGTGAACCCCGATGAAGACGGTAAATGTGTCAGAAAGTCCATAGAGATCGCTCCCCATGGTCTACTTGGAGTCGGCAAGGGTTGCAAAAGTCCAGGAGGTGCACCGGATGCTGCTTTCGCTTGCCTACATTGAACGCAAGAAGCGACGTAAGAAGACACATCATGACGAACTCGAGGCCACCAAAAAGTCCGAGTGACCAAATGCAAGGTCTTGTGTAATCCAAAATGACCAGCGGCTGGGTTATCATGACATTGTGTCATGATGAGAGCCCTCAACGGTCTGGTAGGCACATATAATAAACCCCGATATCGAAGCAGATCGTCTTCAAAAGACCATGGAGAAGTTGGGCCAATGTCCTCCCGTCTCTGCTGCGTCCACACATCCAAACGTTGCGCCTCTCGTAGTTGGGCCCGTAAATCTACCGGTTCCTGCAGTACGGCTAGAGATTCCGGTGGTAACACTGTCCGTAAAGGAAGAGGATCTTCAGCATAAGTATACTCCGGTTTCCGAGATAATGCATCCGCCCTCCGGTTCTGACCACTTGGAACGTAAGTAACCGAGAAATTAAATCTGGCAAAAAATAACGACCAACGAATCTGCCTTTGATTCAATTTCCTAGCCGTGGTCAAATGTTCCAGGTTCCTATGATCTGTCCGAACCTCCACCTTGTGTCGAGCTCCCTCCAAATGATGTCTCCAAGTCTCAAAAGCAACCTTAATAGCTAACAACTCTTTTTCCCAAATGGTATAGTTGCGTTCCGAAGCTGTAAGCTTCCTAGAATAATAAGCGCAAGGAAACAAAAGAGCGCCATCCTCCGAAGCTTGTAACAGCACTGCTCCGATAGCGACATTAGAAGCATCTGTCTCGACCACAAATGGGCGATCCGGATCAGGATGCTTCAATATGGGTTCAGTTATAAATGCTTTTTTCAAAGTGTCAAAAGCCTGTTGTTGTGGAGGCCCCCACACAAATGGAACCTTCTTACAAAGAAGCTGGGTTATGGGATCCATTATCTTCGCAAAACCTGGAATGAAAGTCCGATAATAGTTGGCAAATCCTAAAAGTCGTTGCACATCTTTAACCCGACGAGGAGCTTCCCAACTACACAACGCCTCAACCTTTTTGGGGTCCATAGCAATGCCCACAGGAGAAATAATGTGTCCCAAGAATTCGATAGACGACTGAAAAAAGAAACATTTTTCTAATTTAGCATAAAGTTTATGTTCCCGAAGACGCTGAAGCACTTGACGCACCTGCTGAAGATGTTGCTCTTTAGATTTTGAATAAATCAAAATGTCGTCCAAATATATGACAACAAACTTATCCAGCATGTCTCGAAAGATATCGTTCATTAAATGTTGAAATACAGCAGGAGCGTTGGTCAAACCAAATGGCATAACGGTGTACTCGAAATGACCATAACGAGTGCCAAAAGCCGTCTTCCACTCGTCTCCCTTACGCATCCGAACCAAATTGTAAGCTCCACGTAAGTCAAGTTTCGTGAAAATAGTAGCTTCCCGTAACCGCTCCAACAATTCGGAGATGAGCGGTAAAGGATAGCTATTTCTCACAGTGATAGCATTTAAGCGTCTATAGTCACAACAAAGACGAAGTTCTCCCGACTTCTTCTTGACAAAGAGAACGGGTGCTGAAAGAGGGGATGACGAAGGTCGAATAAATCCCCGAGCTAGATTTTTATTCAAAAATTCTCGAAGTGCAACTAGTTCAGGCTCAGACAAAGAATACAACCTCCCCTTTGGTA